CCTTATTGATAACATAAACAGTTGATTACCACATTTATAAATAAAATCTTTAAAAAAAAAAAAAAAGAAGGAGGCTGTGTAAGGGATATAATGAATTGCTCCTCCCTACCCCTATCTCATTTCCTTTGCCTCTAAGAAGTTTTTCTGAGCAGTGTAAACTAAATTAGTACTTGATTTTCTTTTTCAGAGCTGTAGTGCGAGTGCCCTACAGGCAAGATTGAAAGTAGCTGCACATGAAGCTGAGGAAGAATCTGATAATATTGCTGAAGATTTCTTAGAGGGAAAAACTGAAATAGATGATTTTCTCAGTAGCTTCATGGAAAAGAGAACAGTATGTAAAACTCTTCAGTTGAGGACAAGTGACAGTGTTATACCAAATTACTTAAGTATTTTCATGACTAAAAAATACTTTAGCATGTTACTGAGCTGGAGTTTTGAGTGCCATGAGAAGAAACTGAAGAGCTTCTCTTTTTTAAGAATGATAGCAATATTTTACTATCATTTTGTACTAAAGCTAGTAAATCAGTTTAAGTCTGGTCTTAATAGTTATAGGAGTGTACAACTTCTTATGTTCAACAAGTTATTTAAAAGGGAATAATCTATAAATAGTTACTTTAAAATTTGTAAATATTATTGGGAACATTCTGCGATAGTTTCTGTTCTGTTCTGATTTCCAAAAATTAAGAAAGTCTACTTGACCGTATCTTGCCCTTTGATAGAGTTCTAAATATTTACCTGATTTCTCTGAAGCATCACATTTGAAAATTAACCTTTTTGTTAATAAACTTTGTAAAATGTGTACTATGTATGTGCATATCCTGTTAAGGAAAGTGGGCAGATTTTATTGTCCCCATTTTCCATAAGAGAACATTGAAGTTCAGGGACGTTAAAGATTATGGTTATAGCATTAGTAAAGCATTGATTTTTGGTTCATTCTTTTGTGGTACTATATAGCTGTACCTTAAAGTTTTTATTTATTAAGCTTCCTGGTTAACAACAGTAGGGTTTTGTTTTTATATTTTTAAAACACAGATGCTTGAAATTCCACAATCAGAGAATTGATATAAAGGGTCAAGGTTTATTTAACATTCTGGAAGTTCACAGGCAGAGGTTATCTTCCAAATACAATTCAGTGTTTGTGGGGGTGGGGATTCTTAAATTCTGAGCTACCTTAAACATTCAAAAGTTAAAGATGTCAACAGGTTAAGGGATTCTTAAACTTCGAATTCTGTCCTAATGGTAAGAAGGAGTAGGTAAATCATTGGAGAAGTGACTGGTATTTTAAATCATTTATCTTCTAGATCTGCCACTGTAGAAGAGCCAAGGAAGAGAAACTTCAACAAGCAATAGCAATGCACAGCCAATTTCATGCCCCACTATAGGTAAATTGTCTTCCAGAAAGTTTGAGTCAGAAGGCTATTGCATGACTACTCTTTAATTGAAGTCTTTTTACCCCAGTGCCTGTTTAGTCAGCTTTAAGCATAATTCTGTCATAGCTTCTGTGTTAGATGACATAGAAAATGCTTTGTAGTATACATTAAGCATAATTTTATATACATTAGCATTTAACCAGTGGAAATCTTTTGGATAGTTTGTCACTATGCTGTTGGCTTAAATGAAATGTTTATTTCAGTGTTGGATAGCTACTTCTGTAGAATCGTAAGCTGTAATTCGTTCCTGTCTCTTAGCTGGTATATGGTGTTTACCATTTCACTTAGTTGACATTATTTCTCACTAGTCTCCTTTGTCATTTCTTCCCTAAAATGAACTTCCTATCTGTTGCTTTTCCATCTCAGACCAGGATTATTCCAGTAATTGTCTTGCCAGTCACCTGAATGTAGTTTTTCTCCTTCCTGCACAGCACTGACAGAACGATCTCAAATACCACCCTGTGGTATACTTTCTCTGTCGCAGAACTTATGATGAAACCTTAGCAGGGGCAGGATCACTGTTAAATTTCTCTGTCTTTAAGCCTTCTATAATCTGCAGTACGTTTGGGAACACCCACTTCAGTTTTCCATTTTCCCCTTAAGTTCTCCATTTCATGTTATTTCTCCTATCACTGTATCTTTGGTCACGCTCTTATTGATCTCAAGACACTCCCTTTTCCTCTCCATCTATGTAGTTTAGGAGTGATTTGGTTGTGAAGACTAGTTCACACCCCAACAAATTTAAATAAAAGCTTGTATTATTGAACAATGCAGAAATACTTTATAAGAGTCAGAATGCACAAAGGACAGCTCAGTCGCTGAGAGTGAAAACACGACAAGAAGCCATAATAACTTCTTCTCACACCCTTGCTAAGGCTGCTTGTTTCTCTTTTCTGTGTCTCTGTTCTTGCCTGCCTCTCACTGTCTTGTGCTTCCTGACTTGCAGCTCTTCAGAGTGCCTTTCTTCGCTCCCCTCGCACATGCTCCACCATTGCTCCCCACAGGCCTGGCCACATTAGGACAGTTCACGTCGCCCATGGAAACTAAACAAGGGTTTCACTGCCAATCCCCAGGAAAGAGACTGGCCCAACAGCAGTTTGGCCTGGAGATCAGTGTCATGTGGCTCTGTGCTCATTCAAGTGGGCTGAAGGAGGGGACTCTGAAGAGGGAGCATTTATAGGGAAGGAAGTGGCAGGAATTTCTCATCTCTACCTCAGACTCATCTGCCCCTTCCCTTAATCTGGTTGTACATAACATTGAATTGTTTTCTTGTTTTACAAATCATACTGTCAGTTCCCCTTGGGTAAGGGCTGATTTTTAATATCAAGGTTTAGGAAGAAAGTAGGCACTGAGTAATTATTTATACGAACATGATAGAATTCTTTCCCTACCTCTTTTCCCTCATAGTCAAGTTATCTTCTTATAGGTAGATCTTAATTGGAAGAGAATGTAAAGAGATGACAATTTATCACCTTAAGTTAAATCTTAGGGTTTTTTATGTTTTCTTTTCAGATTTTCCTGAAAACATAAACTGCCAAGACAGAAATGACACAAGACTAAGCACATTTTTATGTATGATTTGCAAATTGGCATTTCATCACAGTGGCTGAATTCATAGATATCCTGTTATAGATCATATACAGAACTGAGACTGATTTTGTACAGATTAGAATGACTGCTGTAGCCTTCGCTTTGAGAAATTTTTCTGCACGATTTGCACTATGTTTATTTATTGTTGATCAATCCTATCATATTTAAGTTCCACTGCTGTTCCTCTGTTCAATTATTAAGTACCTATGCATGTAATTTTAGCTAATTTCAATATTTTATAAAATTGCTTCGTTTAAATTTATATTTTTAATTTGACACTGCCTCATTTATCAAAAATGGTTTGTTTAGATATTTTTCCTCTAAACCTTTTTGAAAAATTACTATTTTCAACTATAGAAAGCCTTATTTCTCCTTCTTTCCAAATGATGAAACTTTCAAAAAATATTTGTTTTTAAGTATTTATAGTGTCAGGAAATACCAAACCTACTAATGTGCCATCTCAAGAAAGTAACTTTTAATACACAATAAATCAAGAGAATACATCAGCTGCTCATATATTGTTTAATTTTTAAAATTAAGGATACATTTAGGGGTGCCTGGGTGGCTCAGTTGGTTAAGCGACTGCCTTCGGCTCAGGTCATGATCCTGGAGTCCCTGGATCGAGTCCCGCATCAGGCTCCCTGCTCGGCAGGGAGTCTGCTTCTCCCTTTGACCCTCCCCCCTCTCATGTGCTCTCTCTCATTCTCTCTCTCAAATAAATAAAATCTTAAAAAAATAAAATTAAGGATACATTTAAGAAGCAATACAGTTAAATAATTATTTTACCTAATAGAAAAAAAATTGCCTTCCGCTTCATCTAGTCCAACATAAACTTTCATACTCCTTTTTTTATATAATTATCTGATAGGCTTGTGATTGGATAATGATATACTTTCTAAATTCCTAATGTTAAAAACAATCTTTTTGTTAATAAATAGTAAATCTAGACACAGAAGTCAATGAATTCTTTTGACCTTTACTGTGAGTTAGCTTTTCATAAGAGAACAGCTTTATTAATAAAATTAATATTTAACTTTTGGGCAGTCTAGTTTTTAATTAATTTTATTGAATTTGCTCTTTAAATTGTACTATGTTCAGCAGTTTGCTTCTATACCATGTTACAGAATGAACACAGTTTATGGGTAGCTGTAAAAGCTAATAAAGGAGAAAATCTGTAACTATGTGTATCTGAGGCTTGGTAAGGTGGTGTCTAAATCACAAAACAAGTTAATGCATACTTTTGTTTAAATTTCCATCCCAATATGTATTGTTATTCCAGATGCCAGCATATAGTACTACAGTTTTGTTTTTTTTTTTAATTCTTTTTCTTTCTGTACATGTCCTTGGCAATAGAACTTTAGGAAAAAAAAAAATTATTTTCTTAGAATTGAAAAATAATACTTAATCTGTCTTTGTGGAAGAGCAAGTATTCATATGGACTATAAGTATATAATTGGAATAAAGATATTAACTTTCATTAATTGCCTGTCTCACTGGCGCTGTGCTAAGGGCATGCTGTTTAATCTTCAGAATGACCAGACATGATTTTTATGGATTTGTAGATGAAATAACCAAGGTAAGTGTTTTAAATTTATGGCAGAGTCTTCTGGGTATTCAGAAACCTTTGCATATTGCACAGACCAGCAGAACTTCCAATTTTCCCAGCAGTCACTGCAATGGAGGACATAATAGCCCCAGTCTTTTGCAAATAATCAGGTGGCTTTCTTAGAAACTGTGTAGAACCTATAACAAGAGAGCAGCAGATCACAGCCATTTTAAAAGGACATTAATTCATTTGATCTGCTAATTTTATTTAACACCTATTCAGAATAAGGCACAGTGGAAATACTATACAGTAACTCAAACATGGTTTAGGTGCTTGGGTGCTCATCTGCCTTCCCCTCCACGCAAAAACAAACAAAACCCCCAAAACATAAAAACCCCACATTTTCTTACACAGTAAATTTCTTCTACATAATCACGTAATTCATCTCAATGTTTTTTATTCTTTAAACCAAACTGTCCTAGTTCCATTCTATACCAGTTAACATAGCTTGCTTCCTCCTTCCAAAATTAATTTATTAGGCAACTTCCTTACAACCCAGTCATTAAAAAGAGGAATTTGATCATGAATATCTATCCGCATTTAACCAACAGACAATTTAGTTCAGATATAGGTTGTATAAGTTGTCCAAGACAGAAAAAAATCTGCATATTTTGGTTTATATTGCAATAGAAAAAGTAAGTGATTTTTTGGGTAATTTTATGGCTATGTTGTTTTCTTCTAAAAATTGGTCATTTGGAGAGGTCATGCCACAGGGGAAAAAAGGCCTGCCAAGGCAGAGGTTCTGATTTTACTTTAACATGTAAGAGAACACCAGATGGAAATCAGAAAATAGAGGAAAGCTTAGGAGTTATTATTCAGAGTAGAAGTTTGTCATGGGTAGAAATTTAAACACTAATGTCTCAAATAGAAGAAAGTTGTCTAAATAAATGGGATGTACAGTAAAGATACCTGTTTCAAATTGGAAGATTTTCTAGGAATAAACAAGAGTAGGAAGTTTATGTTGGAATAGAGGTTGTTTGACAGGTAAGTTTGATCATAAATTACATTTGCTTAAATCGAAGGAATTTCAATGAAAATTGGAATTCATTTTTAGGGGAAGAGAGTAAACTTTTTGATCTTAAAGAATAAAACCATATGCCAAGGTTTCCCTTATCCTCACCTAACTTTATTTTTAAAGAAGTTCCTTTGTTGATTGCTGAATTTATGGTCAAAGTTCTTACCTACTTCAAATAATTAAATTTTCCTGAGTATCACTAAATAACAAGTCACTTGAGCTCTAAATATTACTAGTTGGGAAGTAATCTGCCTTGAGTCGGTTTTACATTAGTTTATTACCTATGCCTTAAAACAGGTGCTCTAAATAAAACACTTTCTGATTGATGTTTGATGTAAAATGAATATGTGCTATTAGAGATTTTAATTTTAGTCTTTTGGTTTGGCCATGCTCTTTCAAGACCCTGTGAAAGCATAATAAAGTTTTAATATGCAATAAATGTAACTTTTTATATAAATATCAGTGTTAGATTAACTTCTAGTAAGTAGTCTAAATGAACATATGTGTAAGTTATAGTATCTTGTAAAACGTTTGGGGAGGCTGAAAAAAGAGTTTATGTGTCTGATGGGAAAGACATCACATTAAAGACATTTTAAAATACCAAATATTTATACTATTTGTGTTTCAAAATAAATTGCATAGTTTTGTTTCATATATTTACTGTGTCATTTTTAAAAAAAAAATTTCTGTATTTTTGTAGATATAAACTGCCAAATGGAAGAAATTAAAATCTCATCCTCAGTATTAGGCAAAAAAGTTTCCAAGAGTTAATAACTACAAGAATGGCATATAGTGAGTTGTCTTATAAAAATGCAAAATCCATTACAAGTATTATCCTAAGTATCATTAATAAGGTATTACTATATACAGTAAATGGCAGAAAATGAACAAGTATTCCTCAGCAGAGTATGCTCAAATTTTATGTTCTAAAAGAATTGTACTTGTTTTATTTACATTAACAGAGTACTTTTATAACACATCTCTGACATATTAGAGTTGTTCTGTTTAAATGATTAACACATAAACAATTACAGTCGGCTTTTGAACAATGTGGAGCTTAGGGGCACTGACTTCCTGCACAGACAAAAATCCATGTACAATTTTTGACTCCTCAAAAACTTAACCACCAGTAGCCTGCTGTTGCCTAGGAGCCTTATTGATAACATAAACAGTTGATTACCACATATTTTGTTTGTTATACATATATACTGTATTCTTACAATAAGTAAGCTAGAGAAAAGAAAATGTTAAAAATCATAAAGAAGAGAAAATACATTTACACTACTGTGCTTTATTAAAAAAAAAAATCTGTATATATGTGGAGCCGTGCAGTTCAATCTGATGTTGTTCAAGGGTCAACTGAATACTGGATTATTTTATTTAAATATATTGCTATACGCCCTCCAAACCTTTCATACTGGGCATTTCAGCAATGTAGCTTTCTTGTCCTTTCTCTTTTTTTCTGTTTTATTGGTACATAGTTGACATACATCACTGTCTAAGTTTAAGATAGAAAACATAATGGTTTGACCTACATACATTGTGAATGATTACCACAATAAGTCGACTGAAGCATCCATCATCTCACCATGGGAGATAAGCTAAAAAGCAAAAGTTGTTTTCCTTGTGATGAGAATTATTAGGATTAACTCTCTTAACTTTCATGTGTATCATGAAGCAGTGTTAGCTATGCTCATGCTATGCGTATGTTACGACCCTAGTACTCATTTATCTCGTCACTGGAAGGTTGTACCTTTTCACCATCTTTCTCCAGTCCCCCTCCCTACACCCCCATCTCTGGTAACCATAAGTCGGATCTCTTTTCCTATGAGTTGTTTGTTTGTTTTTTTTAGATTCTATATATGAGATCATACAATGTTTGCTTTTCTCTTGACTTATTTCACTTAGCATAATAATGCCCTCAGGATCCGCTCATGTTGTCACAAGGGGCAGGATATCCTTGTTCTCTATTGCTGAATAATATTCCATTGTGTATCTACTCAACTTCTTCATTCACCCATCAATGGACAGTTAGTTTGTCTCCCTGTCTTGGCTGTTGTAAATAATGCTGTTATGAACATGGGGGTGCAGAAACCTTTTAGAGTTACATGTTTTTGTTTCTTTTGGACATGTTCCCAGAAATTGAATTGCTGGGTCATGGCAGTTCAGTTTTGTTTTTTTTTTCCAAGGACAGTTTGGACTTTTGTTAATTGAAGATAATCAACAGGCAATATTGTATAAGTTTCAGGTGTATAGTGATTTGTTTATATGTATTATGAAGTGATCACTACAGTAAGTCTAGTTACCATCTGTCATTATACAAAGTTGTTAGAATATTATTATATTCCCTATGCTGTACATTACATCCCCTGTCTTATTTTATAATTGGAAGATTGTACCTCTTAATCCCCTTCACCTCTTTTGTCTATCTCCCCTTCCCTCTCTGCAACCATCAGTTCTCTGTATCTGTGAGTCTGTTCCTGTATTGTTTTGTTTGTTCATTTTTTTTGCTGTTTAGATTACACATATAACCAAAATCATACAGTATTAGTTTTTCTCTGACTTATTTCACTTAGGATAATACCCTCTAGGTCTGTCCTAGTTGTCACACATGACAGGATTTCACGCTTTTATGGCTGAGTAATATTCCACTGTGTGTATATCTGTATACACACACACACACACACCCCCCACTTCTTTAATCCTTTCATATATCATGCATATTTAGGTTGTTTCAGTATCTTTGCTAATATAAATAATGAAGGGTGCATATGTCTTTTCCAATTAGTGTTGTTTTGTTTTTTTTTTTAAAGATTTTATTTATTTATTTGAGAGAGAGAATGAGAGCACAAAAGGGAAAAGGGTCAGAGGGAGAAGCAGACCCCC